ATATATTGGAAAAAGTCACCAAAAAGAATGGATAGGGGAGAAATATAAAGAAATTTTCTTTCCTAAATTAATAAAAGGAATATAAGTTTTTCACGGCGAACAATTTCATCCACAAATGTCACATCTAACAACAAAATAACTACCTTATTTCTAGATAATTATGTATGACTATCACTTTCCTTTCTTCTCTATTTAAGAAATATCTCCTTTTAGCAAAACTGGAAGGTAAGTGAAGTGTATTTGTGTCTCACTTTGTTTTCTGTTTCTCCCAACCTCCCTTTGGACTCCCTTCCAAGTCTTCTCCCCACTCAGGTTCAGGTGCTTAGAACTTTTGTCATCCTCTAATTTATCCTGCCAAAGTGAAAGTAATTTGATAAATTCTTTCATATTAAGGTATTAGGAAATTAATTATCTGCTGATCTCATGAGTATTTGCATTTTAAAGGAAAATTGCAGAGAAAGAACAATGCCTGACCGTCATAAATTACTCATTAATTATGGAGCTTCAGGCTTCTGTGGGAAGATATTTTAAAGTGATGAGAGAACTAGAGAGCACTCTCAAATCACATAACAGATATGATGATCTTGTCCATTTATTTGTCCCGATAGTCAGGAGATTGAGACAAATTATAAACTTGAAGATAAACATTATCTCCTCTTGGTTTTAAGAAATACCTAAAAATGTCTGGGAACACAAGTAGGTCTTATTATTTATTAAATAAATAAATGCTCAATTATTTGTTTTATCTCCAGTAAAATTTTGAAGAATATATTCCTTTGGAGAAATTAGAATAAAGCAGAAATCTCTGATCCATCTGCTGTAATTCCCAAAGCTTTTGGCTTAATTTTGTAAGAAAAGTGGTGCCCATCAAATATTTCGTTTATTAACAGACATCTCCCTGGCCCAGTCGCAGGTAGACAAGGCTATGTGAATAATTTTAGCGAATCACATGGAAGTAGAAACGACGTGTGTCATGTCTAGTCTGAGACAGTAGAACATTCATACATGATTTTGCTAAGTCCCTGTTCTATGGCTGAGGAGATTGTCAGTTTCAAATAGAACAGCACAGAGATAATGGCGTATCCATAAGCCAGGGTCTGAATGTAGACCACAAAGATTTTGAGGTTATATGTAGCTTCCACACAAATCTACATCCAGACCAGTAGAATAATGCACTCCCATCATGACATTTACCACATTGCCTTATAGCTCCTTTGTTACATATCTGTTATCCCATCTTAACTGGTTACCCTTTATTCATTTTGAAGCTTTCTTGTAAAAGAACACATAGTGGAAGAAACCATAATAACGTAGGAATATTTTTTGAAAAGTTAAAAATTAGACAACAAATTAAAGGCAGTTAAATGTGGTAATAAGATTAATATAATTTAACTTTGTACAGTGCGACTACTAGTAAAAAATGTTCTGTGCTGCCAATACAGACATGAGTTTATAATATTAACAAAGATATTAATGATTATGAATAAGATAATATTAGTTGTTATTAACAACATTAATAGCTATTTTAAATACCTAAATAAATATAATATTATGTGATAACAGAAAATGTATATTGGTTTCTGTCTCCAGTTCCTGGCACAGAGCTCTGGAAACTCCTGTAGTTTCCTAAGTGATAACGCTGGGAGCATCCCTTGTTCTAATATTTGTCTTGGACCCCGAGCCTGGCCCTGGGCTCCTAAAACCCTTGTCAATTTCTAAGTGATAAAAGCATTAAAAGCTCTTCTGCTCTAACGAGGTGACAGTGAGGGGGCTCCTGGATGACCTCTGGATGGGGGCTGGTCGTCAGAAAGACTAAGACATGATTAGAAACTTGGAATTGTCAGCTCCACGCCTCCTCCTCCAGAGAGGGGAAAAGGGCTGGAAATGAAATAAATGATTGATCATGCCTTCATGAGTCAGTCTTCATAAAATCCCAATGGTACAGAGTTCAACGAAGCTTCCAGGTGAGCAAATACATCTACACCAGGATAACCCATCTCAATTCCACAGGGACAGATGCTCCTGTACTCGGGACCCACCTAGACCTTGCCTTATGGAACTTCAGCTTCGTCTGGCTGTTCATCTGAATCCTTTATCATACCCTTTAATAAACTGATAAACACAAATGTTTCCCTGAGTTCTGTGAGTTGTTCTAAAAAAATTAATTGAACCCAAGCAGAGGGTTGTTGGACCTTCCAGTCTATAGCCAGTCAGTTGGAAGCACAGGTGACAACCTGGGCTTATGACTGGCACCTTAAGCATGTGTGTGAGAGGAGGTGGAGCAGGCTTTTCGGACTGAGCCCTTATCCTACGGGGCCTGACATTATCTCCAGGTATACAATGTCAGAATTGAGCTAAATCATAAGACATCCAGGTGGTATCTCAGAGAACTGCTTAGCATTGGAAAAACCTCTACACATTTGGTGACCAGAAGTGAAGTGTTCTGTGTCAGTAGTAAAGGAGACTCACGGGGAAAAACACAGTAGGGAAGAACGAGGATTATCTCTACATAGGAGGAGAAAAAAATTTGAGTTCGTCCTTTCTAAATATACTAAGTAAATACTTCATAATAATTTATTTCTGATTTAAGAACATCAAGAAATGTTATGATAATGTCTAGAGGTCTATCTCAGAATATCAAAGCAGGAATGATCTCAGTCTCTTAAATTTGCCAAATCATAAACTATGAAAATCTTAAACTTCAAGTAATATTACCAAGTACTTTTATAGAGAATTACATTTTCCACTTATCTTACATCCATTATCTCAACTGATCCCTGTAATGGCCTCATGAGTTAGACAGTAATAATTTACGGACCCTTCTATGTGGAAACTGAGACTAAAGAAAACACTGAGATGACTTTTTCATTGTCACACAGTGATAACTGGTAGAACAAACAATAAACAAATCCAATAAAAGGGTTTCGGAGAAATTTTCTTTGATGTGCATGTAAATGAGCTCAAGTTAAGTTTATTTTTCATCTTACTAACCAGGCTTTTTATATCAACTCTCTCTCCCCATTGATCATGACATCTACACAGTACAAGCCTGTACAATAAAAGACGAATCCAGTCATAATCATGTTTCTAAAAGTTTACCATTTCCCCCCACGTAAGGAGGATTTGATGACATTAGCATTTTTAGTGTTTTTAATGTTGGTCAAGAACATGACATTCCACATAAAGTGGAAAGCCCCATTTCCTTCTTCAAGAAAAAGGAAAGGAAGGAAGAAGTGAAGAAAGATAGATTTTTTTTTTTAAGAATCAGAGGCAAGATATTTGATGGCAACCCAGTCAATCATGCAAGAACATGGTGACTAATTTAGCTGGACACTTTGTTTCATATTTCACAAATATGTTCCATCTCCATTTTTACTCACTAGTATTGAAATGACTTCAGTTTAGTACCACCTGCTAATTTTATCCAAGTAACATGTCATTAAACCCCTCAAAATCATCATCAAAGATGTTAACATAGACCTAATTCCAATCTCAAGATAACTAGAGTATTGCATTGTAGGCCATCTGATGAAAGTTGATTTAACTTAGCCCATGATTCTTCTTCTCTTTACCAAGTGGCAGCAAGTAGAGTAACGGTAGATGCGATTATTTTAAGACCATCATAGTTAGGGATGCTCATTTTTCCCTCTTACAAGGAGAGGTGCTGTTTTTACACTGCTTCTAATGAGTTAGTCTCTTTTTACTTTTTATTGGCTTTAAAAAATCATTAGAGACACTAGTGAATTCATCAGCAAATTCTCTTCAGGTGTCAAGGTCCATATTTCCCAAGTTGGAAACTTCTATACGTGTCCATTTTTCCACGCACTTGCCTCATTTACACAGTAAGCTATATTGACAATATTTTAATTATTCCCTGAATGTACACACCTGTTCTGACTTTTTAAAAATTTTTTCTGTAGAGAACAAAATTAGCCAACTGGTTTGATAGTTTGCATTGCCCTGTTCCCTTTGAACTTCAGCTTTCTCCTCTAAGACGGAATAGGGTCTTACTTATTGCATTTACAAAGAGAAAATTTTTTTTTAAATCAAAGAGTGAAATGAAATATCTAGCTCTGTTAATAAGCAGGCAAAGATATAAAAGGCTGTATAATTGGCTTGAAAAAAGTTTTCGTGTTTTAAGCAAACTCACCAATGTACATTGAAAAAGACACTTTATAATTGTACATGAAAAGTACAGTGACCACCCAGGGTTATCTAAGTGTGTCTGTTTCTCAATGCTCCTTCATGCAAATAGTAAAACCACCACTTCTGTGAACTCCTAAGTAATGCTGATCCATTCAGCCTGCTAAGAAGTCAAGTGTTTAACCATCTTCCTGCCCCACAATTTCAGCAAGGTTATAATCTATGTGAAAAGACCCAAGGGATTCTACCCACATTAACTTACTATTGGGTATTTACACTCTCATTTTTCATATAGTTTTATTTTCCTGATGTAATTGAGATGTAATAAACGTAAGACATGTTGCAAAAGGAAAGCAGGTAAATAAATACTTCCAAATGTAGCTAGAGGAGACGTCCTTTCTCCTCAGCCTACTGGTAAGGAAATACATTAGATCCACATTTTCCAAACTCTCCCATCTAAACTGATGAAACTTAGAAGGGATGTAGCATATCCAATGACAGAGTATTCGTTTAGGAAGACCAAACTAAATTTAAAAGAATAACATCTTTCAAGTTAAAACACTCACACTTTGCTCAGAAAGTAATGCCAACGGGGCAAAAAAGAAATTCGGCGGGATGGTTCCACTTCTGAGAGTCTCTGGTTTTAAATTCCAGAACATCACGAACAATTAAGCAGATATTTGGGGCACACAAAAGAGTGGAGTCACGATAATCAATAGACTACATCACTTCCTAAGATTCTTAAACTTAGTTTTCAAAATTTTGGAAATGATTTTCTACCCTCATTTTGGACCAAACTGATCTCCAGTATATAAAGGCTGAAAAAAAGAATAAGAAATGAGAATAAAAGTACTCACTACTGATTGGATGTTATTTTCTTTCACCAGCTTCAGAGATGACTTATAGCAATTTGCAAGGTCTTCCTTGTGGGCACCATTAATATGGCCTCTGGCTATTGGTCCTACGGTATGGATGACATCTGTAAACACAGAAGGAAGCAAAAATAGGATAAGCAAGGTATTTTTCACTTTTCACATAATCAGTGCTTTATTTATTTTAGGTATTCCTGTTGGAGCCTGAAGACAAACTAAGAAATACTGATGATGCAAATGCTTCTCTGCTAAAAGATTTTGGATAGCACAGCTTCTTAAATTAGGCAGTTCCCCAGGAAGGTGATAATTGTGAAAAGAAACCCCCTACCTATAAATTGTTCCATCGTTGTTGGTCAGATCCAAGTGAGATAGATTATACTATAAGATGTAAATAATTGGCACCCTGGCAAAAGTCAAATCCTCGGTGGGAAATAAGCAGGAATAATTGCCTACAAAATGAGCATTCTGAATTGACATGGGAAGGAAGAACCAATGCTGCGAATCACTTTCCTTGTAAATAAGACAATAGTGTCAAGCATCGTACACAACAGAGAAGGGCAAGTTTCTGAAAAAATGTCAAGAGAATTTATAATAATCAGTAATAACCATAAGAGGAATCATTTTTAAACATTCCTACCAATTTATAGTGCAATCTCTGATGCTCACATTCATGAAGTATGCTGGGGATAATGGTTCTTAATAATTCCGTAACTTCTAATTTTCACTATATTAAAACTTTTGAAAACCAGTCTATACTTTTCAAACTAATTATATTAAAAACACAAAATTTATTTGTTTGTTTTTGCATATAAAACCAGTCATTGTGGCACACATAAACATTTAAATTGAGGAATTTAATAAAACATAACTGTTTTAAACTCTTTATTTCAAACTCAATAAGTATTGTAAGAAATAAACCAAATTTTAATCCAAATTACTTGAAAATGCCTTATAACTTCTGCTTCTCCGTCCCACCTGTTAACCTGGGTTATTAGCCCATTTCATTGATGTGAGCAACAATAACTAATCAACTCTGATCAAAAAGACAAATTTGGTCTAATATTATTAGACTATTATAATGGAATGAAATTATTTGTTTTGCTAATCAGTACCGCTGAATTTCAAAAACGGTAATAAGGGAATAAGAACACTTTACCAAACTGCAACTGAAGAATAGTTTTAAATTGCATATGAAATTTAAAACCAGAAAATACAAACCACTGGGAGAAGAATCTTTGTTGATTGCCCGCTAAATGTGGAGAGTATGATTTGACATTGAGAAAATCCACCAAAATGTTGATTTCAGCTTTTAACAACTTTAAACAGTACTTAACCCATTGTCAGATAATGGTAAAGATATTAACTTGTGATCAAAATAGGCAGAAACCTCATCAGTGAGTTCACATGATGTTATTTCACTGGCAAGCCTGGCTTGAAAGTGAGAACTGCCATGATACAGAAAGAGAGAATAAAGGGAGATTAAGTTGTATTCAGCCTAAAAAGAAAAAAGCACATAGCAACATTTTTTTGTAATAACAGTAACAGCTAAGAATCGCATGTACTGAAGAAACACAAGTCCTGTGCACTATGCAGTGAATTTCTATATGTAGGATTTCCCAAAGCAGGTTCAGTAAGATATGGGTTTAAAGAGCAATTAACTTTGGGAATCACCAGGTGAGATTAAGTCAAACCAGTTAACTTAGTGCAGGACTTCTCTGGACATTTAGCATACTAAAATGAACTGTGAATCTCCACAGAACAGTGGGTGAAGGGGGCTGGGTGGTGAACAGAATGGTCTGTTTCTGAAATATGTCTGACTGCAGAAACCTAAGTTTTGCAGAGTATCCCATGGGAGTAAATTTCCACAAATTAACCTGTGCCCTGCTCTTCCAGGGCAGTTTTGACACCCTCCTAGCCATGGCTGAAGATGAAATTCATGTTTTTATCCCCTTCCTTCCCCATTGCCTCTGTACATCAAATACCTAATATATAAAAGAGCAACAGGATATGACCTTGGTTTCCTTACTTTATGGCTGG